TCAAAAAACGGTCCAAACGTAACGATTCCACGACAGAACTTGTCGAAAGCTTCGTCTAGTGGTAGTAACTCTTTGCTTTTGTCTCTAAGCTTGTCAAGGAAAAACCGAAGAGAAATGAACACATCCATGGGGTTTCTGCTCATGTAAACAATCTTACAGTTGGAATCCTTGATGGAAGTGGGAAAAGAAGCATAAGGGATGTGGGTGGAAAAAAGCCTTGGCTTGTAAACACAAACATTTTCCAGATTGGGACAATGGTTTTTCAAGTAGAAATAACCCTCCATGGAACGAACAAGTGGGTGAAGATTGAAGGAGAGCAACGGATTATGATCCCTCACAAACTGGTTGCGGTACGAAGTGGAGAAAGTCAAGGCCTTGAGCTAAGTAGTGCCACATTTTGGGAAAGTGGCGACGATAACATCAGAATCAAATGCTTGGAAATTCCTCTGGGAAGAAATCACAGCTTTTAAATCACCGGCGGGGGATGCTGAGTACCAGAAGCCCTGATAGAGATAAAGACTCGTTCCTCTGATCAAACCTTCTTCTTTAGGGGAGGGTTTGCACCAGTTGTAGGAGCTCATCATCCCATGATTTATCCGCATCTTGGGTTAGTGAAACCAATTTGGCTTTGCTCATTTATGCTCTATCCATGAAGAAACCAACAACCAATCAAGAAGAAGAACATCGGAAAACTATCTTAGGAACTCCAACTTAGTGATTGGATCCAACTTAGGAACTCCTACTCCAGCCGGCCATAAAATATTTTAAATTAAATTGGTTAAGATATTATACATCCCACATAGAATCTCTACTAAGTTCTATTGGTCTGTTTCACACAGGCAAATTGAACATTGAATATATGTGTTAGGTATAGATTGATGTTATTTTTTTTGGCAAATTTAATTTTATTAATAATTCATCAAACCTAGGTTAAGAGCCTCGTTAAAAACCTCCCTAACTTAGATGGAGTAAAAGTGCACTCAAAACTAGGTATAAGGTACAAAACCAACCGGAAGCCAACAAAACGAATACAACGAAACAGACAATTGATCCATTCAGTCAATTCCAATTATCAACCAAACTGCCCACCCTTACATTGCACAACATTAAATTGATTCAAATACCAAAACTTCTAGCACCACACCTGGGAGAGTTCCTGCAGTTTAAACTTGATGAAACAATAACCTTGACAACAAGTAATGAAAACACTTCCTCAAAGGTGGTGGACCTATGCAAAACGCCTCACCAAAAAACCACAACCCATCATAGTAATCAACCGCAGCAATATCTTAATTGCAGCAGCAAAGCACAATATCCACATCGCTCTCTAACAAAAAGCATGAGGAAGCAAATTCCAAATGGAGCAAGTGTACATTTATGATAATCTAGCTAAGAGGGTGAACCTTTTTCTGCCTCCACTCATTCATGTAACTTCATCGATTCCACAAAAAAAATCTTCAAACTGTAATTTTTCAAATATTTTTCTAACAGTATGCCAAATTGTTCTATTCTCGATAATACCTCATTGCACCCACCTTACAACCAATATTACAAGCACCCACCTCAAGAATGAAATTAATCTTTCCACACTCCACCGAGAGAACCCAGTTAAAAGGACTGCTACACACACTCCAACATGAAAAATCCAGCTCAACACCATAACAAAGCAAAGTGTTAACTCCACCAAACAAAGATCAAAACAACAGCAAATAGAAAAATCAGCAGAACAAAATCAACCTGACGCCAAACAGCACAAACTGCATACTAAAACAGAACTAAAAGAACAACGCATCATTAGCAAAATTACTACCAAGCTTTGAAAATGAATGACAAAAGTCAGAGTCGTCTAAAGTCTCATCTCATCTTCACACTCATGCGACAACAACATCTCAACACTAAACTCCTACAAAAACAAGCAGCAATCAAAAGACTTAGCTCCCTCCTAATAACGTCTAACAAACCTATAGAGAATTAACATCACAAAACTACTAAGTGCCACCGGACCCTAACACGATTCAACCCAGCTTTAATTCATTTCTAACATTGCTAATTCCTTCACCACCTCCAGCTCCTCGCCGGAAATTTGGATACCTAGGCTTTTTCCCAACTCCAAAGTTTTCTCGACTTCTTTATACGCAGCCAACCATCTACCTTTTAAATCTGAATCAGATAACGACCTTCCTGATAACTCTGAAGACTCCAAATCTTTTATCTTCAATTTGAGCTTCTTAAACTTGATCCTTTTTCTTCTACTTGGAACCGATAGAACTTGATTTTGTAGTTTCAAAAGAGATCCATACCTTTTAGATTTTTTGGATTTTCTCAACTGCTCTACTTCTGGAAAGAAATTGTCCAAATCAACAGTCACAAAGTCATCCCGCCCCTTTATGTCCTTAAGAGCACTCGATTTGATATTTTCTACCAATTCTTTCTGGTTCTCCTCTTGCCCCTCAAGTTTGTCTATATCTTTCGGCTCAACTAAACCAGCAACTGAAATAAATTCTCACCCGCCACTTCTTTTAGATTCCGCAAGTGATTCAGAACTTCATTAGTTGCAGGAGAATCAGTACTGCTACCCATATTGAAACCACCATCTCCATTTTTCAAGGGCACTACTATCGACCTTCTTGCCAGCTTCTCGATTGTTTTCAACGTGCTCATCAAGAGAAACTTTAACCTTCCTTGATCCTTCAACTCTTTTAGCATCAACATGAAAAGGACAGCTCGTCTCTCCACCAGACTTGGAGCGATTTTTGAAGCCAAGATTTTCAGTCGAAAGCCCATCTTCAGATTGATGTTGAAGAATATTCAATTTGTTTTAGCTGTTTATTTGCATATAATCCAAAAACTTTAATGATATACAGATCAAATATATTATAGAAACTCGTTATAAAAGAATCTTTCAACCCAGTTCTCACGTTTGTCATTGTTCTAGTTTTTACGACTTTACTTTGTAATTTGAAGTTTAGACCCTTTATTTTTTCCATACATTTTGTATGGGGTATGAATAGTTTCATTAATAAATTATTGTTCAAGTTAGAAAGAGTCTCCATTGAATAAATGATCATTATTGAGGGAAGTGTTATGTATTGACTTAAATTTGAATGAGTAATTACTAATTAAAGTTAGATTTTTGTGTAATTTTAAAATTAGAATATTATACGATGATTAAGTTTATTTAATTAAATAATTTTATGAAATAAGGACTATTGGTGATAAGTTTTTGTCTATTGATAATTTTTATTTTATAGATGTTTATAAAATTATGTTATAATTATTAATATTATCAGTTTATGATAAAATGATATTTTATCATCAAATCATATTAAATTAATGATGTGGTAAGTTAACCAAAAAAAAATATTATCTACTTTGATATGGTTTTGAAACAAAAACTAAAATATCATGTATAGATTATATTTTTGTCTAAATTTTTTATTAAACTAAAGTGATTATAACGTAATATATATTATAAATACTCTCAACCATTTAACTGTCCAATAATTTATCCAACCATTTCTTGTTATACAATCCAAAACAATAAACTAAAACAATAACAACCACGCACCCAATAGAAAATCAAATAATCATTGAAAAATGATCTCTCGACTATATATATTATTTTGTTAAGTCTATCAACTATTAAAAGTTATAAAATAGTCATTTGATTATTCATATGTTAAATTGACGGTCGTCTGAACTAGACGTTAACATGTTGACTAAGATATGATAAAACATGATCCAGAAACGTTAGAGTTGTATTTTTGGACGTTAACATGTTGGTGTCCAGCTCAGATGACTGTCGATTTTTTTATGAGAAATAACGAATTTGAAACATATATAGTCAGGTGACCATTTTATAACTTTTAATAGTCGAAAGACTTAAAAATAACGTCATATAGTTAGATGACTATTTTATAACTTTTTAATAGTCGATAAACTTAACAAAACAATAATATATAGTCAAAAATATTATTTGTGTACTTTACCTTACTTTAATATCGCGTGAAAACCATAATAATTAACCACCTATTATTTAAGAGTTATAAACGCCATGTTTTAAATTATAATTATTTAATAATTAATTTATTAATATATTAATTATGATTATAATTATAATCACTTCTCATTAATTATTATATTATGAATTATAAATTTGTTTCAACATCATATATTTACTTATTTATATTTAAATAATGATAAAAATATTTATTGTACTAATTTATCATAATTTTATGAAATTTGAAATTAAAAATGTTAAAAGAATTAATATTTTTATTACAATAATTTATAATAAAAATAATTTAATAAAATGTACTATTAAATAAAAAACAATGTGTTGTAACACTTCATGTAATCCTATTTAGTAATGTTGCATCTCATAATATTGTTGTTAAAAATAATTTACATTTAGCAATCCTATTAAAACTGTTTTCAGAAAAAATTAATCAAACAGAGTAAAATATTTTATAGTGTAACATCCAAACACTGTAAAATAATTTCTAAAAAATGTTTTCCATAAATATAATTCATTTTATAGATTTAATTTTCCGGAAAATGTTTCCATAAATATAATTCATTTTTCATATTTCATTTTCCGGAAACTGTTTTCAGTGAAACAAACAGACCTTAACTATGTGAACTAATACGACACTTTTATATCCTCTTAAGGATCGTGAGATAACATTTTGGGTTAAAACGCACATAAACCTTAAAAACACCATAACCATCGATGAAAGTTATAATCTTATTTAACGGACGACACTTTAAAACTTTTTCTAAAAGAGATACGAAGTCCCTCAACAAAACCATTTCACTACCTAAACACCCATCATCTTCAAAACACCATATCCATCAATGAAAGTTATAATCTTATTTAACGGACGACACTTTAAAACTTTTTCTAAAAGAGATACGAAGTCCCTCAACAAAACCATTTCACTACCTAAACACCCATCATCTTCAACCTCAACACAACCCTTAATCAATCCATTACCATCTATCACCAAACATAACTCCTCACAGAGCCGTTGAAGCCCACCACCATCTCCACCATGGAACTGAACCTGAAAAGCGAAGAAAAGAAATAAAAAAAGGGGAAAAAATCGAAGAATGAGTTAACGACCGGTTATAATGAAGACAATAGTCAGGTGATAAAAAGGAAACTTAATAATAGTTGAATGACTACATATATAGTTTACCCTCAAAATTCATTCACATCATGTATATCAAGATTAACATACTTGTTGTATGTATATAATTTTAAGTTAATTCGATATATCTATCATTTTAATCGATTTTTTAAGTAAAAATTGAAATATTTTACTAACTGATACGAATATATACTTATCGATACAGATCAGGAGTGATTAGTACAGATCTGTATAAGTCAATACAGATACGTACCTTAATATCAATACGTACCGGTACCATCATGACTATATGGACAGTGATACAGCTTGATTTTATTTGATAGGGATAAGCCTGCTGGTGGAGCTCTAAAACCCGAAACATCCTGCTCCATCGGATCATCTGCAAATGCTGAAACATCTCCGACAAGTCGGAAACAGATTCTGCGAGTTTGTATTTGTTCAGGGAAATCAAAATACATAGGTGTTCCTGGTTTGGTCTCTGGCAATCTATATTCGGCAATTGTCACCATGTTGGATCCTTTTCCATCCTGTAAAAAAATGTGCAGTGTTAAGTTTCGAATCCCAACATTTACAATACTTTTAGAGTAATCATCATTAATCAGCATCAAGCAATATTGTTCAGACTCTTCATTTTCTTAAAGTATTCGTGTCTGATACATATTTTCGTGTCCCGAGTGACATAGGAAATAGATATAAAGTAGTGGCTGATAACAGTACTAACTTTATTATGCATTTCTACCACCATAAATTAACGAGTACCATTAAGATAGTTTTGACAGATACCTGGATTGCAGATACTTTAATATATAAAACAGCTGGGGAGATATGTCTGTCTTCTAAGAATGTTATTGATGTATCCCAGATATCTGCATCTGAAGATGGTGAATGAGTGATCCGAGGCTTTATTGTATTGAAAGCTTCTAGTAGGAATCCGGCAAGAAATGGTGAAGAAGGAGGCAGATACTGCTCTAAGACGAGATCGTGGTCCATTAGCCTCTCGGACTCGATTGGAACCTGAAAGTGAACAAAGGACTATCAGAAGCAATCCGCACCACAATGTGAACTTAGAGTACAAAAGCGCCAGTGTTACCTTGAATCTACTTAACTGCGGAGCTTGGTTCAACCGGTTTATATAATTGATTTGATCAGTACTTTCTGATGATCCATTCCCCATCTCTTCTCGTACAGGGCTTCCGGCTATCACTATATGTTTGGCATGAAGGCGTGGATCACATTGCATTGCTCCTCCAAAAGATGCACATTGAGTTTCTTGTGGAGAGCTTGAACCAGGCCGCTCAAGGCGAAGGCTTAGTGTTATCTGAACAATGCGACATCTAACAGGATTCGTGAAAGTAAACTTTATATGTCGAGGCAACTTATCATCTCCACCAGACTTTTCAGGTCCATAAAATTCCGGTGAAGAGCTGATCAGAGCCTGGACATCCCATTTTCCTAGGCAGGACTTTTCTTCCCTGTCTAGTTTCTTGCTCGCCATGATTTGCACCTATGGAACAATAGGAAAAACTGTTAAAAAAGGGTTAACCTTAATGAAATCACTTTACAAGAGGAAATGAAACTCAAGGACTGTGACACATTCAGCAATGAACTCGCCATGATTTGCACCTATGGAACAATAGGAAAAACTGTTAAAAAAGGGTTAACCTTAATGAAATCACTTTACAAGAGGAAATGAAACTCAAGGACTGTGACACATTCAGCAATGAAACAAATCTATCCAAATATGTCAAAATCATATAATACGAACTATGAAAGTGATGCATAATTGAGCATCGATGTTAGTTTCGAGTTGCTTATAAGAATAACATATACATAAGGCATCATCACGGATGCCAACAGACCTTATCCATATACTTTAACATAATAAAATTACAGCAAGAAGATCGGTATACTTACCATGGGAGTGTCAGCTTCGGAATAACCACATGGACTTACAAGCAATACGACCCCCTTGACATCTGAAAGTGTGCCAAGCACAATAACAAAATCAACAGAGGTAGTATTAGGGGGAGCCTTCCAATATGAATTCCACAATCCATAATCCAAGGGAGTGAGTAACGACAAGAATGGTGCTGAATCTGTCGCTGTCTCGACCTACAGTTTGATTGGAAGTGGTTAGACAAGAAACATAAGCAACCTATAGTTTTTAAGGATGAACTTAAATAAGTCGACAGATCATCAGATTCATCACTAGGGGATAAAAGATACAGTAAGTTTCATAGTCCGGAAAGCCAATGGTAGATAGCCAGCATGAAGCAGCTGAAGAATATGGAATCCTCAATATCCTTCTTAAATTAGCAGCATATATTTTTCATGTCAGTACTTAGTAAACCTTGTTATTTCAAGAGAAGCATTCAGCTTATCCAGACATTGCATCAATGGGTAAACAATGTACGAACGTATTAAATAGATGTTATACCGGGTGTAGAAAGCTGGCAAATGGAAACTCGGCAAGTGATTCTTCCCCAGAAAGCAACTGTTTCAAAGAATTAAAAGCTTGATGATTACCATCGAGATGGCTCCTGTCAGAAGGGACATCAAGGAATGAGAATCCCATAACCTCATCCAAAGCTTTATAGGCTGCACTATCAGCCCGGGCTCTTCTTCGCAAGCTAATCAAGACCCTAACATAGTCCAATACCAATGCATCAAGAATTATCTCATGGCAGCACTTCTTGCAAACAACACTGTCCAGTGTCACTGAACGATTTGTAGTACGATCAACCTGAGTTCCTTGACTTGACAAGGCATTATAATTTGTTCCGTCCAAAGGATAATTTTGCAGAAGAAGGGCTCCTCTCCCTGCACAACAAACTCGACAAGCCTTTTTATGACACTCAGAACACTTGAAAACAGAATCTGAACCATCCTTACATGACCCCATTGAGGAAGCAGATAGAGTTTCCTTTGTATTAACACACACTTCACACATCCCACCAGAACAGCTCTCTCCAATGCTACTAATATTCCAGAAATCTATAACATTATCCTCGATCTTCTCCAAACCGATAGCGCCATTCATCTTGTCCTCAAGAGCAGTTTGCCCAAGCAATGCAAGGGTACTTGCAACCTTGCTTAATCTTCCCATGTATGATCCATCAATCAGAAAATTTGGATTTACATTAGCTGCATCAGTTCCAATAGACAATAGTGCCTATCTCTTTCAGCTGCTGAGAGATTAAGCCGGAGACGTTCAATATCCAATTCCATTGCTTCAAGGAAGTTTAGGCTTCTTTCCTGCAAAATTGGATAAATTGAAAAGGGAAGTTATATATTCTATCAGGTTGTGATTAGCACCTAAAAACTTGTATATTTATCTATCTTAAGTGAAGCTAATATTGACCTTCTACAACCAGTTCTTATTGACCTTCTATTTGTAATATACAATGTTGTAAAAGAAAAAGCAAAAATGATGCATCTATAAACTCATTATAACACGAGCAATCACCTGATTAAGAAATTCGAATGACCAAAGATAAGAGAATAAATGGAGACAAGAAAGAACCATAAGTAGCATTCAGTTGATTCAGGGATGACCAGTTCTGATGTTTCAATAGGATCTACTTTTATTTAAGATTCTCATGAATTCTCCCAAAACATGAGGGAAAAAAACATACAAGCAACAAGTAGTCACATACCATTTGTGGCCCAGCAAGGGATATTAGACGGTTTAGGTACTTCTGGGAACCATTCTCTTGAGGCCTACTATCCTGTGATGTAGAGGATTTATGATCACCTCCCTTGGAATCAGCATTTTCTGTAACCCCTTTATCGGCAGAACCCTGTTTAGCTGATGCTGGCACAGCATCATGGGATAGAGAAATGCTAGTAAATAGGTTTGTGTCCGAACCAGAAAAATAAGGATTGGTTTCCTTTTGATATTTCGTTGCCAGCTCAATTAGTCTGGCACCACGCCCTTCATTAGCAAACACTCCATTCCAAGGCAGAGAAACTCCAAGGATTTCCACCTATAAAAAATGTTGAAACAGACAACCAGTCGGCGGCATTAGAAAACTGATTTGCTTAAATCATAAAAGATAACTAATAATCGAGCAATCCATTTCTTGTGGTTTCCTACTATTATTATTCATCTACCACTAATAAGTACTTCAAATGCTAATACATGCAGATGCGACACAGTCCAGAACGCACATGTATATAATAGTTGTGCATTGAAGATACAAAGTTAGAATAAAAGACAGAACGCAAGCAACATATTTCGGAGAACATCTTTTACCTCACCAAGAGTCATAGGAGTTCCGGAAGCAGCAGGATAAAATGTAACTGCCACTATACGTGTAAGAAAGTCCAAATCTCCCTCTAATTCTTCAAAATCATACAATAATGATAGAGATCTAACTTGATCAGGAAGGTGTGCACCAGCTTCAGTGACAGTCATGTCATCTGCACTAATTAGGCCTGATAAGGGAATCAAAAGATTTGTCCCATTTCCACACCGGGGTATGATAGCTCCCTGACAACAATCGAAAACAAGATTAGAACACAATTCAAATTCAAATAAAACAGAAAGCAGGAAAAGACCATGCTATTTTGGGAAAGGAATGTAAGAGACGATAAAAATTTCGAGGCAGACACTTCAAGCCAAAATGTGTAGCAAAACTTGCAGAGGGCAACAATAAAAGAGCACAAACCTCGACAACCAGTTTAAGTCCATCTAGGTTGCGCCCTGTCCTCACATCAACTGTTGAAGGATAAGTTGAATCATCTGCACCATGGGAAACTGTGAGTAGCAGCTGACAGACATGGCAGGGTTCACCAAGATAGATAAAAAGTTCAACAACATCAGTAGCTTCTGGACAAACCTGCAGTGCAGACCGTAAATGCATGTTTTCTAATAAAGACTAAAAACAACACAATAAAGAAGGGTATATTTCCCTGCAAACAACAATTCCTAAGTTTCATAGAATTTTCCTAGATGATGAAGAGAGGACTGTATGTACCCAGATTTGATCCTTTTTCTTGAAACTTAGTAGACTGTCTCCACCACTAGAGGTTTCAAACATACTTCTGACTGTCTTAAGAAAGAAACCAGATGGTCGGGAAAATACCTGTGACGAACAGCATGATAAGTGATAAATAAACAGAAAAATAAACAAAATTTTCTTTCCAAATCAAAAATTGTTTTTAGACAAGAATAAAAATTAAACATCTAGGCGCAAACCCAGGACAGCACAGGACTATCATCACAGTCAGATTGTAACAACAAACCTGAAATCTAGACATGCACTAGAATTACATACATGCAAAGGTTGAATTGGAACAGATGGAAGATGCTTGAAAAGCCTTATTCCAAGGAACATTTCCAACTGCCTTTGACGAGAACTATCCACAACTGCATTTTTATATCTCCTTTGAATAGTGATTTTCACATTTTGTGCGGCAGAAAACTTCAAATGTCATGTCAAATTTCTTCCATGGTTTATCTGGACATGGATGATTCGATATTGTGGTCTCCGTATTGTGATCAATATAATAATTCTTCCCTGTTGATGCATCAGATTGTTTCTCCCAACCAGGTGGGAGTGGTGCGGTATCGCTGTCATTGTTATCAACTGACTGGTGTTCATGTGCCAAATCATTGTCAAGAGATAACTGAAGTCGCTGGCACTGCTCCACAAATACTTGCACTGCCCCAAAGTAACTAGCAGCATTGGTTCTATCCAAAGAATCTGCACAATTGAAACGTAACACACCATTTTGATGGGATCTTAAGCAGAAAGCCCCTTCAAAGTCATCATTGTGGATGATTTCACCTCTACATTCCTTAAGTTGCATTTGTGGAGCCAAATAATCTCCCTCAGAAATGCTTATAGCCATAGTGGGTGCTTTTAAAAGTTTCCACAATTCTTCAATTGTTTGTTGTTCACCTTGTAACCTAATCCGAGCATGCCAATCATAATTCACTAAATGAATTCGAGTATAAGGAAGTTTTCCTGTGGATTTAATATGGTTCAATGATTCCTCAAAGTGATGAACTAAAATGCGTTCAGACTTTCCTTCTCCATTACGAAGCAAGTTGACACATACAATCGGGACAAAGGGCTTTTCATTCTGATTTTCTCCAATACCAACATCTAAGTTACGAGCATCATACCGTTTAAATAATCTTTGATAATACTGCAAACTTCCTTTATATGGATGCCAATCTGAAACATAAATTTCTGCTTCAGCAGCAGTCATCTTTAGTTCTGCACCCCACCACATTGGAATTGAGCCCCGTCGCCAAATATATGTGTTAAAAGGTACACTCTCACCAGGCTTTTTAGGCACCCATACAATTTGTTCACACTCTACTTCATTACCTATGAATATGAACATTCTGAATAAGTTTCAAGAAAATCATACAATAACAAACTGTGTGATGAAAGTCAGAATGAAATTAGTAATCCAAAATAAAATCAAAAATAAGTTAATTTGAACAAAAGTAAAGAAACTCACATCTTCGTGACATGTCATACAACAAAAACATCACAAGATATATGGAAGATGCAGTAGAATGGAGACACTAGGAAAGAAGGTTTACTTATGTTTTTGACTCTAAAATCAATTCAGGTTTCCAAGGTATACACATCTTACCTGCACTAAAGCATGAATTTATACCCCTAGCCAAGTATCGGGTACCAGGATGCAGCCTACTTCGACGAGCTGTTAGAGCAACAATCCCTTCTACCTGACCTAAACTACCAAAACTTCGACTCTCCACGAAGCCCTATACATTAATATCAAGTAATAAGTATAAAAATATCAAGTAAATATCATACATTATATTATACTGGTCTCAACAGTGATAATCCATTATCATAGTGGATTAGGAAGAGAATGTAACAAAAGACAAGTTAGACATTCCAAAAACAGGTTACAGGGACTAGGAGGAGAAAAGAAAAAGAAAAAGTCGAATTAGTATTAAAATGAAGATATTGAGTATGAAACAAAACCTGCAAAAGGATAACACAGTGCTGCATCAACCCAATGTTTATAAAAGGCAATGAAAGCCAACCATTCCAAACAAATTCATTATCGGGACTAAGCACAGGCATCCGACTCGGAAATGGTCGAGTAATATCTCTTGTCTCACAAAAGAAGTGCATCCTATCAATGTCTACCTCAGCCAATTCTTGTACATTCTTTATTTCCCCTCTACCCTGAGGCTGAGGATTATGAAGTGGTATTTTGATCCATTGACTCTCGATTACAGTAAACACACATCCCCCACCTGGCAAATCAGGAATACTATCAGCTAAATTGGTAGCAACAAGAAGGAATCCATAACCTCCCAAGGCAGTATAGCCCAATATTGCCCTGGCATGGGTTTTACTCTTACAATGCGAGGGTGATCCATTGCTTAAATAATCTAAAGCTTCATTCTCAGACCTAAAAACATCAAAACCGAATTTCCCTCGATAGCGAAGCGCCCCAGTCGAAGGATCAACATAAATCACCTGAGTGTCAGTCCTAGTAGACAAGCTAACAACAATATAAACTTCACATGTATCCACCACAACCACAACAACAGATGTGCTTCTTGAACCACCAACTACAAGTAAAACTAAACATAATCAGCTAAGACGTAAACCATTGTTTACCCATCACTGAAAACACGATTAAACCAAAGAAATAAATGCATAAATGTGATCACCTGGTGATTCCATGCGCTCCCGAAATGATTGCTAGCTAAAAACTTGCTAAAAATCCAGAATTTTTAGTATCCATAATGGAGAAATTCAATAACCTGTTCAACCAACACTAAACCGAGAAAGAAAAAAAGGGTCAAATTCTCTACTTTTTTTCTCCTAGTTACGTGAATGAATTGTGGAAATGAATCAAATGACCATAAAGAGAAATAAACTCCCTTTGAATGCAAAATAAATTACATTGAATCAATAAAATAATAAAGAAATTCAAAAAATCCATATCAAAAGATTCAGTTCTTTCTCATTCCCGACACCTAAAGCATGCAAAAAATAACAATAACGAGAAATGAGATTAAGAAACAAGGAAATACCCGAGCTAAAACTAAGAAGACCGCTTGATTTCATGTTCTTCTACAGAGAAATATCAAATCAAAGAAAGCATTTATCGTGAATCAATGAAAGAGGATGATGAGCTATTACGGAAAATGAATGAATCAAGAACAAAATAACTTTTCATAATTAACGAAATATAAAAGAAAAAAGAAAATTTTGAAAAGTAAAAGAAAAGCTGAACGGAAAGTTAGAGCATCCAACATCGCAGAGAAAAGCGCGGGGAAATATGAAAATTTTAATGGTGACCAACAAACAACTAACCATTATTCTCTGCTGGTTGCCTACAAGTACTCTTATGAGTCATATCCAATGATACATTGCCACCACGTATCAGAACTGTTTAGGCTAAATAATACTTTATTACATAATTGTTGGTAGTTTATTTTCAGAGTGATATTATTTGGCAAAAAATTTCAAATAATGATGTTGAAAAAATATTTTAAATTTTAAATTCAAATTTTATATAAAACAGTTGATATTAAAATAAATAGGGAAATAATTTGTGTATCAAAAACTTTTAAAAAAAATAAATAAATGATTATTTTTATTAAAATTTTAAATTATATAAAATTCTATTTATAACTTTTTTATGAGGAATAAAGGGATTAAATTTTAACTCTAGATTTGATATTAATAAAGATTTAAACAAGCTAGATCTTATTTAATTATAGTTAAAAAAAGAAGAAGAGAGAATATTATTCTTTGGCATAATATGTTATTTTTCTATATATCAAAATCAACTAAGATGAAATAATAAAAAATTAATAATACTATAGGCCTAATGCATATGTAATTTTAATTATTTTTCTGATTTTTAAACCATGATTACATGTTATGATCATGCAATTTTTGGATAATTAATTAAATTCAAAATATTTTTAAAAAATTAAGAAATTTAAAAAATAAATGTTCAAAATAAATTTAGATGATAATGATGAATTTAAATCATTTAAAATTATATTAAAATACATGAAAATAAATTAAAAAGAGGGGAAAAAACCTCAACAATGTATCAGTAATCGAAGCATACTATATTTCCGTACTACCAAATTACCACATATTTTGCGTTTTATGCAAGTGTATATTATTTTTAATCAATTAGTATATTTCAAATATTTGTAGATGTCAAATTAAAATTAACTTTATTAAAGAAATTAGAATAAATATCATACTAATGTTGTATATCAATATACGCCATTATTTAATTTATTTTCTATATATATTTTAAAAACTTGAAGACTTAAAATCTTAAATTACAAAAAAAAACCTTATTTAATATAAAATTTAATTAATATATGTTTCTAACTCTCCCTTTCATTATAAACCAAACGTCATTTTCACTTTATTTTCTATTCTAATGTTCCTCTTTGAATAATTTTATATTCTTCATTTTTTTTTCTAAATCATTTTTTACTACTAAAAGACTCTTTTTCTCCGTATTTTAACTATATTATCAACAGTTTTGAAAATCTAACTTAAAGAAACTGCGTAACCATATGTATTACTTTATTTCCAAACTGTTAATATAAAATTGTATATCTATTTCTAAACTATTTTTCTCAATTATTTAAATAAGAATTCTCTTTTATTTTATCGTTTCGAATTATATATTTTTAACAATGATTTTGATGAGAAAATGTCTCTACGACTAAAGCCACATCTTCAATGCTACCTATTGCGACAATAATTTTTTTTAATATTAGACAAAACCTAATGTATTGTCGACTCTGTTCTTAAAGTTAAACAAAATCATCTCATTTGTTTTCTTAATATTGCGATTTGTTTTATGAATTTTATTGTTGCAAACTTAATATTATAGTTTGAATCTTGAGATTTGTTTATAGGTTATTTATTAAGAGTGAGTTGATTTACAAAGATGTTAACAATGTTTTATTCGTGTTGTCTAATATTATTTTAGACTTAATTTATCAAATCTACAGTCAAAACCTACGTTCATCAAAAAGATAATGAAGTATATAGTCATGATACATATATAAAGATGATGACGTGATATTTGATAGGTATTAAAGTTGTCAGGTGAAAAGCCTTTGCACCTTACCACTAGTCCAATTCTCGATCTTGGTTTATAGTTGCAAAATTTAATATTTATCTTATATATTATATCTTTCACACATTTCATCAAACACTTCTTCCTTCGTTGTAATTTTCAACATGGTTATTGGCTTTGCTTACAAATTCTTTTCCGGGAGCCGATCATTGGTTTTATTTGAGATGTACTTCATGGAAGAAAATGGCGACCCCAGTGTTGTTATTAGTCGAGTTCGAGTTCCACAGCCGGACATAACTCGGTCGTACCACTTAGCAAGTGAACGATGATATCCATATAGATCTTCTACCAAGTAATCAACTAGGGTCGATTCTTGCAAACATTTCTGCACGTTGTGCAAAGGAATCTCCATCTTCCTTGATTAAATTTAGCATTGCATTCTTCTTTTATCCAGCTCTGCCATTGATATTTAACCAGTTCTACATCATTTAAGCAAAACAGAAAGAACCAACAAAGTAAAGTTGATACAGAACCTAACACCATGAAATGGTAATAAATAAAAGTATAAAAGTGAAATGGGTTTTACTAGACATAGTGGATTGAAGCCATGGAGAGCGGTTTGAGCCGTTGTGATGACTTTGGGTGGGGGTGGTTTCGGGCCTAAACAGAGCTGCGGGAGAAATTGTTGGAGTTGGTCGCTCCATGCGGTGCAAAAGGTGGTGAAATCCACATCATCACTTTTGTATATGTGGTACTTCCACGTCAATATGTAATGTCATGTAAACTCATGTCATCTCCCTATATTAATTGTTAGTTGACTAATAATTTTCATCCAATAAAAAAAAATTTTGATCCAAAATGAAACATTAAGAGTTAATGTACTCTAAAAAAAGGATAGAGATCAATGTGTCACTATTATTAAACGTTAGGGGGTATTTCTTGTCATTATATCATCATGACACACAACAAAAAACCATCTCATTCTTTCTCCGTGATAACCACAAACACATTTTTCACTAACCATCTTCTTCTCTCACTTTTCGGTCGACAAATCGATAATTGCTCTCTTAGCGTTTGCTAAATAGATGATAAAAATATACCTAGGGTGTTCAAATTAATCTGTTACCATTAACCGGTGTAACTGTTATATTTTACATGTTAATTAGTCGAATTGTTAAAATTTAACAGTTTTGATTAACCAAACCACTAAAAGTGTCGATTAACGATTACGGTTATGAATTTTAATACATTGTTAATTGTTAGTAAATTATAATTAATTAATTAAATTTTTAGAGAATAAAATTAGAAATAAAATCAAAATGGTTCCTCCCTATTTTTGTAGTTATCATATTTATCTTATAGATGAGCACATTAAATCAAACATAGATAAAAAAATCTAATTTTAAACTGCAAGATTTAAATATGCACGTAAAATTTTAAACTGCAAAAAAAATGAAAATACCTCATTATATATATATATTATATATATATATATATATATATATATATATATTTAAAAATAAAATGGATCTACAAATAAATAAGATTTCTACAAATATATACGTTTCTATCATCATAAATTTTATGAAATTTTGAAACTTTCATGTTATGTTGTGTTTGAAAATATTGTAATAGGTTAACATGTAAACGAACCGTTAATAATGGTTTGTCGTTAGTGATTAATTGTTTCTTAATGGTTAGGTTACAATTAGCAAAATTTAGTACCCGTTATAACGGTTAACCGACAGTTTAGGTTAAATGGTACGGTTACCCGACCATAAACACCCCTGACGGTAACTATAAATACAAATTTCGATGAAAAAAAAGTGAAATATATTGTTGATATTCAACGAAGAACAAACACATGGCAAGAGTCTTAGGTTCATTTTCACTTGCAACAAGGAAATGAGAAAGATTTCAAGCAATAAACTAGGAAATGCTATCTCGTTAATCTACCTGATGCTTGTGGATTCTTCAATGGTGATATGTAGTATTGACAATGCTTACCATCAGGTTTTAGGTTAAATGGTACGGTTACCCGACCATAAACACCCCTGACGGTAACTATAAATACAAATCGATGAAAAAAAGTGAAATATATTGTTGATATTCAACGAAGAACAAACACATGGCAAGAGTTTAGGTTCATTTCACTTGCAACAAGGAAATGAGAAAGATTTCAAGCAATAAACTAGGAAATGCTATCTCGTTAATCTACCTGATGCTTGTGGATTCTTCAATGGTGATATGTAGTATTGACAATGCTTACCATCAGGTATGGATATCTTTCAACTTTCTCCATACATTTCTTTCCTTTGTCGAGCTTGTAAGATTATTTCATAGAAACTCGGTTCTTCACCTTCATGAAGGTGTGTAAACCACTGCTTGCCTAATATGCAGCTCATTACCCTGATAAATAAAAAGATTACAAAAAAAAATCTCATTATTGATGATCAAGGATAAATAATGAGGAGATGCATGATAATGATTATCAAGGATAAGTAATGAGGAGATGCATGACAAGTATGTTGTAAAAGCATGTAACCTGAATAAAGTAATATAACAGATATGACCCTCCAACCTTTTCAGCATTTTCATCCAGTGCCCTACATGTATGTGAAGATATGACCCTCCAAATATGTGGGAAAATATAGAAAATTTCAGTTAAGTGGCAAGATAACCTGCAATGAACAAGCATGCGGACACTCAGGGTCGCTCTCCTTGGCACATCTTATCTCTAAATGGCATGCGGACACTGAAGTCTCGAATGTTATTAGTTTGGAGAGGCTTTGCATAACATCCACAGAAGGCAGATATACATGAGTTCATCGAATGAAATGATTCTGAAATGCATGACAGAGGAGAGGCTTCTCAACCACTCAGGCAAGGTGTTGAAGTTGTTCGGAAAGAGACCCCAGCTTTTCCCGACCAATCAAAGACAAAACTCGAAGAGAGGCATGGAAGTCTTGGATAGAACTGAGACCTGGGAATTCCTTTAGCTCTTCAGTGAAACCACAATCATTAATCTTCTCAAGCAGGTGAAGCTGCCAAGGCAGCCATCTGGAGAACTCCTCAATGTTGAATGCAATTTCCACACATTCTGAGATCTACATCACATCAGCCAAACTGAATAATGTCATATATAAACGGCAAGTTCGAGACTTCTAAGCTTTTGATCAAGAGGTCAACAACCTCCTTCGGGTTCTTGCTTCCAGTTTGCCGCAGTCAGATATAACTAAATTCTGAACAAAGGGAAATCCTTCCAAATCCGGAATGGAACATAAATTAGGACATCCAAATAGCTTGACTTCTTTAAGACAAGTGGAGGTAGACAGCCCGTCTCCTATCTTGTTTAATTTCACACAATAGAAAATTTTAAGCTTTTCAAGCAATGAACATTTTCCTGTTATTGGAATGATTTCCAGTTTGTGGCACCCGTATATATCCAAATTCCGAAGAGACGAAAATCCTTCCAAATCCGGAATGGAACTTAAATTAGGACATACATGTAGCTTTAATTCTATGAGAGAATTAGAAGAAGACAGTCCGTCTCCTACCTTGCTTAACTTTTGACACTGGAAAATGTGAAGCTCTTCAAGTGATGAACATCTACCTGTTATTGGAACAATTTCCAGTTTGTCACACCCATATATATGTAATACTCTAAGAGAGGACAACCCTTCCAAATCTGGAATGGAAATCAAATTAGGACAACCGGATAGCTTTATTTCTTCGAGACAAGTGGAGGTAAACAGGCCATCTCCTATCTTGCTCAACTTTTCACATCGAAAAATCTGGAGCTTTTCAAGAGAGAAACATCTTCCACCTACCGGAACATATTCTAATTTGTTGCACCCGTATATACCTAAAGTTCGAAGAGATGAAAATACTTGTAGATCCGGGATGGAACTTAAATTAGGACAAACGTCGAGAATCAATTTTTTGAAACAAGTGGAGGTAGATATCCCCTGTCCTATCTTACTTAACTTTTTACACCTGGAAATGCAAAGCTCTTCAAGAGATGACCATCTTCCTGTTATTTGAACAATTTCCAGTTCAGTGCAGTAAAGAACATTTAGACTTCGGAGACTGGAAAATCCATTTAAATTTGGAATTGAGGCTAAATCTGGACAGCCGTCTATGGTTAGCTCCTTAAGATGTATGGAAGTCGCTAGTCCATCCCCTATGCTGCTTAAATTTGAACATTTCTCGATACGAAGCTTTTGAAGAGATAAACATTGCCCTGTCAATGGAACACTTTGCAATAGGGGACAACAAGAAACACACATATCCTCTAAAGCATGGAAACATGATTGTTGCTGCCATTGCTGTCCATTCTTTCAGATTTTTCATTCGCTCTAAGGTTAACGTTTTTAATGCAGGAAACACCTCCTTCTTACCCTCCCAACTTTTGTTGCAATAAAATTCATTACCCATGCATTCCACTTGCCCCATATCACTCAGTCTAAGAAATTTGAAATTCCGCAGTTGGCCCAAAGGTGGAAGTCTATAACAGTTCATGCAACATATTAATTCCAACTCCATCAAATTGTCAAGCAGAAACGAACCAGTTTTAGTTGGTCTTAACATCCAAGAGGGAAAGATTTCTCCGCCATAATTCCTAACAATTAAGCTTTGCAAACTTGAGTGGGGTTGAAGTCCTTCCAGCACTGCTCCATCATTGTAATAGTTGCATTTTCTCTCAGTGCTCCATTCAAATGTTACCTTGCATAATTTTTCTTTATGGTCTAGATTTGCTCCATCAGCCTCTTGTTTGTCTCTAACATGTACAAGGTTGCACATCATCAATTCCCCACCAAGTTCGTTTAGGCATTTTAGTGCATCGATGCGATGTTCTGAAATCCCCACACAAAACATGGGCAATGTTTGAAGAGAAGTTAGGTATTGAAGCTCAACCGGTTGAGAACTTCCACAATCAAAATGAATGTGCTTCAAGCTTATCAAATTTCTCAAGCCATCTGGAAATGTGAGCCGCTGGCAACCCATGAACCGTAACGTTTGCAACAAGTAAAGTTTGATTATGGATTGAGGCAGTGCTGCAATAGAAGTTTTTGAGATGTCCATATACCTCAAGTGCTTCAATTCGCCAAGGGAATCAGGCAACTCAAGAATATTAGCACCAGAAAACTTAAGGACTCGTAGGCTTGTGAAGGTTCTTGACAACTTCTTGAATACATCAATCTCTGAAAACAAGGAGTGCAATTTTGGAGCAATATCTGTTAACAGTTTTGATAATGATTCCCCATCATAGCCAATACAGAGGCGCCGAAAATGAGAAACTCCATCTATGACGGAAGTGGAATTCTCCTGGAAAATCAAAGTTTCAAACTTTGACACAGACAAGGCCAGATCATGCACTAAGTCGTGCATCTTGCATGTTAGAATATTCCCCCACTTGTCCTTCTGCACATCTTGAAATAAGGAATTCGATAGCAATTCATCGAAATATCTGTTACCAGTATCCATCATTTCCGTAGAACTGCCAAGAAATCCTTCAGCCATCCAGAGTTGGATTAATTGCTCTTTTTCAAAGCAAAAATCTTTAGGAAACATAGAGCAGTATGCAAAACACTTCTTCGAACACAGAGACGACAAGTGATCAAAACTTAACTTCAAGATACTTTCCACCGAGTTCCATACATCACTTCTTTGAATTTTCAACCATGCTGCCTGACTCCTTTCAGTATTGCTCAGTGTCCCTCCAATAACTTTTGCTGCCAATGGCACACCTTGACATTGTTTAGCAATTTCCTTGCCGATTAACTCTAACTCTGGAGATAGTGGGGAGTCTCTAGATGCTTTTTCTTTAATTATTGACCAACACTCCTCGTCTTCCAGTATTTCTGGCTGATACTTACGATTAGGAAATGTTTCCAATTTTGATGCCACCTCTTCAATGCGGGTTGTGACAACAACTTTGTTCCCCCTATCTTTATTGAGCCCTAAAAGACAACGTTTTAGCTCATCCCATTTATCAACATTCCACACATCATCAAGTACGAGAAGATACTTGAATTGCTCATTTTCCCCTTTGGCCTGCTCAATCTTCTCCTTCAGTTTTGTCGTTATAACATTCAAATTTTCAGATACAAAGGCATGTTGATTAGGGAAATGATCTAACATCTCCTTTAAAATTCTTTTGACATCAAAATCATCATAAACACACACCCAGAACTTTTTATCAAAATGACTTTCCACGTCCACATCATGATAAACTAGCCTCGCTAAAGTGGTCTTCCCTATACCTGCCATGCCAACAATAGGGACTACAGAGACAACCTGTTCATCTTTGGGGCTGACCAACAAGTCAACAACTTTTGAGACATCAATTTTCCTTCCAACAATGTGCGAGTCATCCAGGAAGGAGACTGTCTCAACATTTGAACTTTCAAATATAGGACCAGGAGTTTTCTGATCTATGGCCAAGGCTAACTGTTGGAGACCAAAGTCCTTGGCCAACTTGCTAAGTTCATCCAAGCAATTGAGGATGTCCTTGATATTATTTGCCATCTTGAGGCGAAAAACAATGGGATTGGAGGAAGAACAGAAGTTCCGTACCTTGTTCCTCTTTCGGTTCCCAATCTCGACTTTCCTTCGGAGAGTTTCATAATCCAACTCATCCAACACATCATCAGCCTCATGAGCAACATCTTTGAGCCTCTGCAACCAGAGCTTGACTGAGTTGATTTCTTTTTGTTTTTCCTCTGCATCTTGCAAGAAAGCTCCAATCATCTCCAGGGAGTTGCCAAGCCTGTGCAGTTCTTTCTTGAAACCCAATGCAACGCTAATCTGCTCAGTTGCAACTGAAGTAGCTTTTGACACCACTCCTGCCACCACAGCTGCCACCACAGCACTCAAAATAGCTACAGTCATCTTCGCTGATTATCCTGAAAATTAAATAAAAATTGAATTGTTAGAAAAAACAAGCTCTTAAAAACAAAGAACAGAACAACAATTGTAGCAAAGAAAATTAGAAGACAATATAGAATTGAATTGGTGAAAGATCGTACAGAATCGAGAAAACGAAATGCGAGAAGAAGTGGAGATGAACTGTCTTGGTAAATGCGAATTCAAGTGTTCTCCTTGATGAAGAACAAAACAATCCATTTAGCTTGGCACCCGAATTCTCAAAATCAAAGTCAACTCCTCGTCATTGACATCGAGTGGCCAACATTTTTTTAAGTAAACTGATAACATTTTAAGGGTAAATTATTATTTAATCACTAAACTATCACTTTAGTTCCGTTTTGGTCACTCAACTGACGTTTTGACTCCGACATTTTAAGGTAACTTATGTTTTGATTTTAAGTGATGTTTAAGTTGTAGAATGCTGTAATGCTGCAGGTTGAATGAGGAGATGATTGAGCTGTTTACGATTAATAATTCAAATTCAACCGTCAAACATAATTGTCTCCAGCAGAGTTTGCAGTCAACGAATAAAAAAAAATACTTGTTGGATTAGACAAGTCTCAGAACATTGCGATTTTGTTGAGGGCACTGAATGGGATCATTGATGAAATCTGTGAAGCTCTTACGGAAGGTAATATGTTCATATATACCTGGCAAATACGATGAATCGGTAATAGATGATAACATAGCATCGGAGCTGCAGGCTTGAAATGATTTACTTGTGTCATTGTCCGGAAAATGTTGAGTTTAATATTAAAACAAAATAGTCATAAAGAAATCAAGACAAACTCTAGTAACTTATGATATGCATTTTCGAAGCTGTCGTTTGTTTGTCTCTACCGAGTTTGATAAGGTTAGGGTCGATGAAAATCCGAAACACAATAATGCATTAATTTTTAAAAGATTTTAACATCAAGTAAACCATTAAAATAACCCTAAGAAAGAAAAGCAAATATATAGATTTATAATTGAAAATGCGATTGGTAAAACATGTTTTTGATAAATAATCGACATTTTTTTTATTTACGTGACACAAACACATGTTTTTTTATATAAATAATCAAAGAAATCAATATTATTTTGATAAGGTGACATTCGAAAAGATGAAAATTTTAAAGGGTATAAAGGTAATATACTTAACAAGCTAGGGTTCGCAATTTAAACTACCCGCTCGCGCAAACTATTCCGAGATCCCACAATTTGGAAACAAATTATAGTATACGCCATTTTCCTTTGGAGCGAATTTTCATCGATTTGATCATCACACTCGAGAAGGTAACCTCTATTTTGCCGTAATTTCTTGCTTTCCCCCTTTTAATTTCCTTAAGCTAGTTGGGTCACTTGAATCCTGTCTGGTTTTGCATTTTATTCACTACATGTTAGGAAACCCTTTTTGCTTAACGTATATATTTTCACCCATTTTGTATTTTTTAAGCTTTTATGAGCATTAGAATTTGATGGGTATCATTTTCATGGATTCTAATGGGTGATTTCTTTCTTTCCTTTTTAAAGATAATATATTTTTAGTGTTGATGCTTTGATTTTTGGGTATGGTTTGGCTGGATTTTTTATTTTAAATTTAATAGTTGTAGGTGTTTGCAGTTTCCTAGTTAATTGAAACTTGCTTTAGGGTAATACTTGTTTTTCTTTTTTATGATGATTAGAATGCTTGTTAATAAGAAGTTTTGTTTGAATAAGTTCTTCGGGACTCGCAAGCGTGCTTTGGTTTAATCGAATATATCTTATAATTTGTAGGGTTGTATACTAGTAATCACTTTCTGTAATTGCAGCAAGGAAGATGAGTACAACAGGCGAGAAAGGGGCATCGACTACGAAAACCCCTGCAGATTTCCTTAAATCGATTCGTGGTCGACCAGTTGTTGTGAAACTGAACTCCGGTGTTGATTATAGAGGTCGGTCTCTTATCCTATACTCTTTTCACTGTATGATTGTTTCATCTATATGTGCTTCTGTAGTTCTGTTCCTTTTTTTTTCTATTAGATTTGCATTGACAGCTTGTTTGAGTTTGTTTATTCCATCAAGTATCTCTCTTTCACTTTCATGTATATGTAGAGCTTCGCTAACTCTCGGAAAGGAAAATGAGTTCCAGTTATTTTCTCATAAACACCGTGGTTTTACACTTCTCATGCTGTGATGGTCTATTACAAGGACTAGGGTGGAGTGCCGAAGACTTTTGTGTTCAACACAAGTGTGTTCAATATTTTATATAAGTTTTTCATGTTTTTGAGAGACCGTGGAAAGGTCATGTCCCTATATCCATGTCTGGGTATGTCTAGGCATAATGGTTATCTAATATGGATTCTCGAAATTTCCTTCTGTCTTTCGTGGAATTTTACATCCTTAACATCCCTCCCACATTTGCCAGGTATACTAGCTTGTCTAGACGGATATATGAACATAGCCATGGAGCAAACGGAAGAATATGTCAATGGCCAGCTGAAGAACAAATACGGTGACGCTTTTATTCGAGGGAATAATGGTAATTATTCTTAGATATCCTTAGTTTTTAACGGTTTCATTTATCTTTTTATTATTTATGCATTTTTTTTGCTGACAATGATGGTGAATTTCATTCCATTTATGCAGTACTTTACATAAGCACATCAAAGAGGACATTAGCAGATGGGGCTTAGCATTGCAACTGCATAAAGAAATCAATTGTTAAATCTACAAATCCTTGCTTTTTGTTATCAATATGTTTATAGGATTTTAGACATTTGAATGAAACATTGAGAGTTGTTCTGTTTGTTAAATCTACAAATCCTTTTAAGTTTTTATGTTTTATTATTGTTATTATCAATTGGAGCAACACTTTTATTTTTTACCCTATCTACTGCTCTCTACTATACCAATCCTACCGCAATTAGGGATGAGCATTTATCAGAGCTCGACGAGTTTTGACCTGATCAACACTTTTATGTTTTATTATTTTTATTATCAATTGGAGCAACACTTTTATTTTTTACCCTTTCTACTGCTCTCTACTATACCAATCCTACCGCAATTAGGGATGGGTATTTGACAGAGTTCGACGAGTTTTGACCTGATCAACACTATAGAATATTTTTAAAAAATTCAAGTTCAAGTCGGATTGGGGCTTTTTGAAGGATGAGGTTGGGTTGGGCAAAATTTGGGTTTAGGGTCAAAAATCTAACTCGAGATAATATTATAATTATCTTTTTATATATTATGGGATAATTGTGATAATATCGTTCTTATATTATTTTCAATTAGGTCCCTATTTTATCTAACAAAAATGAATTTTTATATATGTTTGTGTCGGGTGTGGATGTGGGGTTTCACTCAAAAACTAAATTGGGTTTCAGGTCGAATATAACTTCTCTAAATTAATATTGGACATGGGTGGAAGAGTGTAATATTCGAGTTGAATTTAGACAAATCAAAATTCCGACTTATCTATGACCATCCCCAAGTGCAAAGCAGGGAAATTGATTATATGTGACGAAGGAAAGTAAAAGTTGATTCAAATCGATTTAACCGAATTAACTAATAATCTTTGGTTAAGTGGGTCTGGTCTAAGTGAAATATAATTTTGTGTAACTAATAAATTGATGCAAAAATTGATACTTGCGATAAGAGAGATAATTTTAGACATTGATTAAAAGTAAGAAATTTAATTGGGGTAGATTTGTATTATAAAAATATTAATCAAATAATTATTGCTATAACCAAATAACAAGGTCTATGGTCAGAAATAAATTTGGAAGATTTTTAAACAATCTTTTTGTAATATTTTAAATTGTAATAGATTTTTCTTTTCAGTTCATAATTTTTTTTTTGCTTTGAAATTTTTTATATGTGATTGCTTATATTTTCGTTATCATTGAATCGTAACTAATTGATAGATGGAAATGATGTGCTAACAACTAACAAGGTGGTGGCATGAATTGACTCATGACTCGGCGTGGGCGTAAGTGCTTTGGTTTTTATTAAAATATTAAACCCTTAAGCTTGACACCTATATATATATAGGTAATTAGCATTCATTTTTCTTGCTTGAAAGGCCACATCGAGTATATTTATTGTAATTAGGGATGGAATTGTCGGGTTGGATTTTCAGCCAATCTAATCAGAAAAAATATTTTCTCCACTCAAAAATTGATCCGATTTGAGATTAAAGTGGTTTCACTCGATCATAATCCGATTCAATTTTTTAGATAAAATCCAAATACTACTTAACCCAAAATAAATATATTTTTAAAAAATATTACTTTTATTCAATAAAAATATGAATCTAATTGGGGAAAAAACAACATAGAAAAATGTATTATTACAATTATTCTTAAATATATAAGATATAATTATATTATTTTTCGGATTGAGTTGAATATCTTTTACCCTAAACCCGACCCGAATCAAACCCAAAACTTTTTGGAAAAACCCCAATCCAATAGGGCCAGATTGGATCAGAACCCGTGGGGTTCAGTCCCGTGCCCATCCCTACATGCCTTCCAAAATTTTCATGCTTTGCTTTCATATTGTTAATGTTATGAACTCTTTTCCTTGTTGCATTTCTATATATTGCTCTCATCTGTTTATATGTTCATTTCTGATCTTTTTGTATCGGCCTTTTCTTTAGTATCGAACATGTATCTATATACGATTATCGTCCGATTTCGTTCCGTCCCATTTCTTAGTACTTGTATCCCAACGTGAAAAGCAATGGTATATACAATTCTGACAATGAAATTATTTTACTGTATCTAAATATATGCAGAAAAACCATGGCAATGAACAGCTCGGAAGCTAATTCGAATCTTGGAGACGAAGAACGCGGAAATTCGACTGCCATCGATCAGACCTTACTTTGGAAGCCAATAATAAGCCTAAAAGAATTGTTCATCGATTCTGTTTCGTCAAGTTTTAGCCTTATAAAGACACTGACGAAGCATCAAAGGTTGCAACATCCGAGCAGCTGATTGAAAACTTGGATCAGAAGTTCAGTAAAATGGACCAGGAATTCAAACTTTTAAAGGTATGTTTTATGTTTTTATTTTCCTTAAAACATTCGTGTTCGATATTCATTTTCCGAATTTTTCTTAATTCTATTGTGGTGGAATTTGTGGACGGTTAAAATGGATTGATACACACTCACAACTCGATCGTCTACGCCGTCGAGAATCGACAATTTCAAGTGGATTGGACTGGCTAAAGCAGACGTCGGATCATCTACAACTTGCTTTGGATAAGCATGATTCAGTCATTCTTCCTCATAAACACAAAAGAGGATCAAATCATACTCAAGTAAGTTGCTCTCTAAAATCCACTTTAGCCCTTTTTTACAGATGTCGTAACCGTCTTTTGATTGGGTCTCGGAATTGGGATTCGACTTGAAAATGTGAATTGGAGTTGTCAACGACCATTTTAAAACGAATTTAGGTGGATCGGACACCATCTTACATGATCTGCGTTTTTACCAGAAATGTGTCGGTTTCGGGAGTCGGTTACGATCAAAGAATAATTAGCACCCTTGAACTGCCCTTTCGGTATAAATTAATTTGTTGGTTGTCTTAGTTGCGAAAATTCGAAATTTAAATTTAAATTTAACAACCCGATTCAAATTACTTATAATTGATTGATTTGAATACCCTTAAAAGATAAAAACATTTGACTCGTAGCGGAGTATAAAATCGAATTAGGATAGCAAGTATGCAAACGTGAGAATAATAAATAAAACAAGAAAAAATAGAAAATAACAAAACACGTAAAAAAATAAATAAAATGAATAAAATGTTAAAAAAACAAAGACACAGATAAAGAGAAAATATTAATGGAGTAAAAAAATAAAAAAAGGTAAAAGGAATTAAAAAAGAATAAAAATAATGTGTATATATAAAGTAGTATTTACTAAAATAAATAAAAATAATAAATATATAATACTAAGTAAAACAAATAAAAAATAAAAATATACATGATATTAAGAAAAAAATAATAGAAAAAAATAAAATAAAGTAAAAATATAATATATATATATATATATATAAATAAAATAAAAATAGAATATTAAGAAATATATATATAAACGTTTAAAAATATATATTAAGAAAAAAATATATACATAGTATAATAGAAATAATACATATACATATATATATATATATATATATATATATATATATATATATATATATATATATATATATATATATAAAAATAATATAATAAAAAAAAAGGAATATAGTGAATAAAAAAATATAATTAAAAATATATATATATGAGACGAAATTAATATAAAAGTAAAATTAAAGGGTAAATTTCAAGGTAAATTAAAGATTAAGATTGACTTAGGGGGAATATTAAATACTTTAAAAAAATGAACATGCCTCGGGAGTATATCTAGGTTCGAAACTTCGAAATCTCACCCCTTTTTGGTCATCGGCGCAACCCACGCTTTGGGTTATTCAAACCAAATCTCAAGAAAAATAACATGCACATGCGAGAAATGAACGAATCAATGTAAAAAAGATGATACCTTTTATTTCATTTTCGAATCGTTTACAATAGCTTTGCCTTTGTATTTTTTCGCGCTTTCCTCTGTATCTTGTATGTAAATCGTGTCTTACAAATAGGGAGGATTACATGTATTTATAGTGAAAAAACTAACTATTTTTAGAATCCTATTAACAATAGAATCCTAATGCAACTAGACTCCTTGCTTGGTTGTTGCACGTTTGTTGGTATGGTTGTTGTTTTAAAAGATATGGTGGTGGAAGAGTCTTCTTAGAAGATGAACTCTTACTAGTTCTATCTTTTAAGAAAATTGGTGTCTACAGCTGCCCATCTTTGTCATTTTTCGTGGAACGAAAAATAGGACAAAGATAAAAAGACATAAATTTTTGTTCAGTGGAGTTGAAGAATAACTCCCTGTCGAATTGAGTTGCGGATGGCTCATCCGTCGCGAAGTCGAGTCCATCTTGAAATGATTTGAATTAGAATGTGGCTTCTCGTTGTAGTCCACTTTGGTCTTCTTCTCGGTTTAAAGACCTTGGCTAAAAATTCGACTGGAAAGTAATCCCTTGACTCCACAATATGGTTGATATGCTCTCGAGCTGAATGAAACCGAACTCGAAAAGTCTTCGTTGACATATAGCTTTTCTCGACTTAAGCTAAGCTGACGGAAAAAAAAGCTTCTTGCTACTAAGGCATGGCTAACCCAAATCTTCTTCTCGGCTTGAAAACCTCTATTACAGCCGGACAATAGTGTGATTGAGGTGTCATCAAGCTGAATGGAATCGAACTCGACAATTTTCGTTGACAGATATCCCTTCTTACCTTGAGCTATGTTGTAAATTTGATTTACCTCTGAGTTGAATGTAATCGAACTCGAAGGTCTTCGGTGATACATAACCCTTCTTTGAGTTGGATATCCTTCGTCATGAAGTTGAAATCCAATCTAGAGATGGATGCTGCTTGTGTGCACGATTCCCCTTCGTCGTGAAGTTGAAACTGCTGGTGGTCCCTTCGTCGTGAAGTTGAGCCTGGTAATTGGATATCATTCATCGTGAAGTTGAAATCCAAGTGGGTAGTATTGTTCCGAGTCCAATATCCTCCGTCGTGAAGTTGAAATTAGCTCTGGAACTGGGAAATTGTTTGTTGACAGCCAGCCGCCCCTTCGCTGTGAAGTTGAGCTTGTGTTGTCTCGAGTTCAATATCGTTCGTTGTGAAGTTGAAATTGACTCTGAATGAGACTGAAAAGTTGTCTGTTGACAATCAGTCGCC